CAACGCCTTCTAAACTGTGCACGAGTGAATTCGTGGCATCCTGAAAAATGGCTGCAGACATACTAAGCCCAAAAGGCTGAAAAGGTTAAGGATACAAACCGAAAGGCGTATTAATGTTAGTTATTTTACTGAATTGACTCACTAAGTCGTGTCTGTAAATAGGCATGATTTTTGTCCATTTTCGAGAAAACTCCAGAACCATATAAATAGGAGAAGATAGCATCAGGTTCTACTGTAGTGCAGCTAAGCTGATGCAGTCTTGTAATATGGGTGTTACGACAGTCCTCACAGACTCTGGGTGTCTGACCATCTGACTTTAGAGGGTGTGACAACAGCGTTGCTTATCGGGAGTTCTGCATTGGTAAAAATACTCCTTTCCATAAAAAGCTGAATACTTTCCGGAATGTCTTCATTAGTACATATGGCGAAATTCGACGTTTATGAAATACAGTATCTTCAACAACTTCAACGTCTACATAAGGAATATTCATAACACCAGACGCCGCGGAGTAGCCTTGAATCAGCGAACGAATCTGAGCCGCAGTATCTACACAACAAAAACTTAGCACTTAACTTAAGTGTCTGTATTGCTATCAACCCAAGAAGAAAAGGGCCTCGACTAGTGAAAACAAAATTAATATGGATAAGGTTGTTGTCTTTGTTTAATATTGTCCAGTGCAGCAGCCTAACACAGGAAAGTATGCCCAGTAATACCCCGAAAAATAATAATGAAAAATGACCAATGAATTTATACTGGTTAAGAAGCGTTGCTTTACAAGCCCCGTTGGATAGTTGGTGGGGATATCAACATAAAACTAATGATGATAAGGATAGCAAAATAGTTAACAATTTAAATACGAAAATAAGGACTTATCGTTTGCTTCGCTGCAGTCCTGCGATCCACTTAGATTCACAACACCCACAGTTAACAACAAGTAATTCTAGGGTAAACTCCAGGTGTAGGATGGAGACATAGTGTTAAGTAACAAAGTGTAAGTGAATGAGTGCATCATCCAACCGTCTTTTAAGTACTGTTAATGTCGGTGCAGAGACGACCGATTCTGGGAGAGCATTCCACGGGTGACAGACACGAATGGAAAAGAAATTTCTGCGGCACTCCAGACGACTGTATTGTTCTGCGAGTTTTAATGAGTGGCCCCTCAGGTTTGTATTGCTGCCCAGTTGCAGTAAAGAGCGGCACACATGATGTGGGTCCCGCAGAATCAAGTATGCCATAATCAGGTCGCCTCGTAGCCTGCGATAGCTTCCACTGAACAATCCTAGTCGTCGCAGCCTCTCCTGGTAGGACCGATGGCGCATTCCAATCACGTTCTTAGATGCCCGGCGTTGTGGCTGCTCCAGTGCATTAAGATCGTGTTTCAGCCATGGATGCCAGGCTTGAATTGCATATTCGACATGGGGGCGAACATACGCACTGAGCATTTGTCGAAATATGGAGCTGTTTATTTGTCCAAACGCCCGCCTCAACAGCCCAACGTGTTGGTTCCCGGTCTTCGAGGCCTTTTCGGATCGCCTGGAGCAACCCAAGTCATCTTGAACCGGGACACCCAAGTCACGTTCGACAGTTAATTGTTGCAGTACGTTCGTTCCGATTCGGTATGAGTAGCTGCTTGGATGTCGGATGGAAAGCACCTTGCATTTACTGACGTTGAAATGCAATAAGTTTTGGATCGACCATTGATACACTGTATCTAAGTCACTTTGAAGCACATGTTGGTCGGCGTTCGCCTGGATCCTGCGCCAGATCTTGATATCGTCGGCGAACATTAGGAAGTTTGAAGCGATTCCCTGTGCAAGGTAATTAATAAACACCAGAAACAAACGTGGACCTAGAACCGAGCCTTGCGGCACACCACACTCCACTTCTATGGGGTCCGATAAAGAGCTCCGAACTCTGGCCACTAATTGCCTTTGAAATGGAAAGTTGGCGATCCAGCTTAAAAGAGGGTCACCGATCCCGTAATGCTGCAGCTTGGATAGTAGTATTCGATGGTCTAGACGATCGAAAGCCTTGGAAAAATCCAGGTAAATCACATCAACACCTTCTCCAGCGTCGGCTGCCTCGGTCCAACTACTGCGTGCAATGAATAAATTAGTTGTACATGACCGCTGTCGACGGAAACCGTGCTGTTCAGGAGTGATGAGGTTGCAGATTTCCAGATAGCACACCAGTGCATCGGCAACTATGGATTCCATGACCTTGGAGAGTATAGGAAGAAGGGTTACTGGGCGGTAGTTGGAGGGATCAGTTCTGTTTCCGCCTTTGTGAATCGGGCTTATTATTCCAAGCTTCCACATGGCGGGAACTTGGTTCTGGTCTAAGCAGTGTTAAAAAAAACTGAACTATAGGTCCTGCCAGATGGTTTGCTGCTGCTCCAAATGCCTCAGGACGAATGGCGTCGACACCCGGCGAGCTGTGTTTGCGTAGGGAAGTCAGCTTTTGCAATACAGCCTCTGCGGTAAAATTGATGTGGGTTAATCCTGGTGAGCAGAACACAAAGTTTGGTAGATCGCTTGGTGGCAAGACCCTTTGAAACGTGGGGGCGTATTGCATCTGCAGCGCGTTTGCAGCTTCCAAAGATGTTCTTGTTGGGCCATCAGCCGTCTTGAGTGGGGGAAATCCTTGCCTCACCTTTCGTGGGCTATTAACGTGCTTGTACAGCAGTTTGTGGTTAGCACTGAAGGTTGTTGCGATGTTCTGCTGATAGGCGGCTTTGTCTTCTCTCAACAGTTGAGTGCAGTGGTTACGTTGGGCTACGTAGTTGTCCCAAGTTTCTGGTGCTGGAGCTTCTCTGTACACTCGCCATGCTGCGTTGCGTACTGTCATCCATTTTCGGGTTCTGCTCCTAACGAAAGAAACGGATCTGCACTTATTGTAAGCTTTTATCTCTGAAGCCTGTGCAATCAGCTGGCGATGAAAACTTGAGTTAACAATCAGTGATTCCACACTGCCTGTGTCAACAATGAACTCACATTATTTTCCGTTTACATTCTGAAGACTGTTGTACAAATAGCCATAACCATTAAGAGTCAATGTTAGCGAATTGACACCATCGTATAGCTAAATCATGCTGTCTGCAAGTGAATTCACAACTTTACGTGTTTTCGCAAGCCGACAGGGAATGCACATGTGTCCAACTTTGCCACAATGGAAACACTTTGAAGTTCGTTGATGACAAGTATGTTGATAATGTAAGTCTTCACATGAGGCTCACGGGCCTAACGGTTTAGAGACTGCACAAAGGTTTCAGCGTTCTGGTGATCTCTCCTGTACGGACCATGGTCACCATCCGACTTTGAGGATGTGTATCGCCACCGTTTTTGTTGTTTAGCGGGAGCACTGTTTTTTGGCAGAATCAAACAAAGTTTGCTTGCCATAATGAGCTTCGCACTTCGAAAGTTCGTAAACGCCTTGAAAATTCTCACAATGCAGTTTAAATTCGTGGTGCGCTGGCTCTGGAAGTGAAATAAGCAGACTCTATAGAGTTGAAATATTAATTCCGGCACATTGCAACTAGAATGATACCCAGTCTATGAAAGATTCTGTAAGAAAAACTTCGGGAAAGGTTCGGACTCTAGACACTATCCTACTGCCGAGTAAGAATTGACCTCATTACGACCCATCGATTACCACACTTGAATCACTTCCCCATATTGCGGTCAATATTTCACCTGCGGGAACCCTGTAACACCTGAGGACACCGTTATAAATTCAGATTAATTGCATGAACAAGGTGTCACATCAGATTTGTATAGAACAAAGAATCATAAACTTATGGAATTCACTACCAGAAAGACCAATAGAGACCGATTCTGTGAAGTGATTTAAAACACGTACCGACGATTATTTCATAAACTTGTGCTTTTGCGAAACTGTGCATATACAATGCAAAAAACACACCCTATACCCAGAAATAATGACAGCAAGACAAATTCCCAATTGTACAAGAATAAACGAGTAAATCACTAGACACTACCGCTGACGATTCGTCATTAAATGTTGTTGCTTTTTCATTATTCCATGGAGTTGTACAGAAACATTTCTGATTTCTCTTACATACAGTCTGCCTAAAGTAAACGATTTCTGAGATACTCATCCAGTTTATCCTCGACAGAATACCGAGATGCTTGAGCTTGTAGATACAAAATAAAATCACGAACAGACAGAACGTTAAAGTTGACTCTTCCTGCCACTACGAACTTGTTTGCACTAAATGATCAGGCAATATGGTTCTCATTTGCTCATATGAAATTTTCGATGGCAACTTGGGATCTGCCGAATTATATGACACTGAATAAGCCTTACTGCTAATAGTATTCAATTAATGTGAGGTTTATAATTCTTCTTGAAATCAAGGATTCCTAAGCCACCACAGCTTAAACCGCTCAAGGCACTCCATAATTTTCTGCGGGAAAGAATTTAGGTCCAGAATTTCGATGTTCTGCTTCATCAAGAACTTGGCACTGACCGTGATGCGATTTGTAATGCTTTGGATCCTGGAATAACACAAACCTCCAACTAAATCTAACTTCGAAATAGAGGGAGAACAATGGAATTATACTTCCAAAATATGCAGTCAATACAATTCAGTATAATGGGTAATTTAAAATAAGTAAGGTCAAATAAAACTACAGTTATAATCACTATGGATGATGACAATGATTTAAACATGTGTTGACAATGGCTGGCTGACTGATGCAATGTTAGACTGAAACAGAAATCATCAAGCTGTCACCACAGTGATTGTCACCATATCCGATAGCGCATCATCACTCTCAAAAGGGATGTAGATCATGCCATGAAGTATATACAAAGATTTCTACCTTACTCTTAACGGTAACCGGTGGGTAGCAAATTAGTGCTGCTGTGTGTATATCCTTGAGCATATTTATTGTAGCATGTCAACATAAAATACATTTTTGACGCTGATTAGCTGCTGACTTCTCTGCCTTTCTTTTTCACCCACTCTCTCTGTTAGACTAACAACTTGCTTCAGCATCCTTCTCTTGGAATCAACTTGAGTCTGGTGGTACGAGACATTATTTGGATTGATGCGGAGCAGGTGAGCTTTCCTAAGCGCAACCTTGGAATCCCACTCTTTTGGTTTGCAATATGGAGTAGACTATTTGTAATTCAAGTGTGAATCTCTGGACGGCATCGAGTGGCTTATTTCTGTGTTCGGTACTAGTATTGATGCACAACACCTGCACTTTAACATATTGTAGTCCACTTAGGCCTCCGTGTTATTAATAGAAGGTGAAATAAATTGCATGCGCTCAAATGGCGTTAATTGATTTTGCAATGCGTATAATCCTAAGTGTATGCTCACTTTCGTTGGTGTTTTATGTAGGAACCGGCACTTGCGTGTGATCTGTGGGGAGTGTAATAGCTCTGTGCCACTGGCACCGAAAAGGTGATCGCAGTTCACACATGTAACTGACGTCCTGCGTGGTTCGCAACAAGGCAACAAAGAACACAAGATATGCACAGTACGCACAGTTGCAGAAAATAATCTTATCGATTCGAAATCGTGTGCTAAGACTAGTAGAATTAGAAGTACGAGTGGTAAAAGTAATAAGAAGCTCCATCTGAAAAGCGTATATCTAAGTGCGGAGGAAGTGAAAAATAACACCGCACACCAGACTGCACTTGGTTCTTTACAGAATGTATGATCAAATCACATGTGAGGTCCATCGCCGAGATGGAACAGCAACGTGACAACCTGACAACGATTATGCAGTGTGCGGCGGCTCGTACATCGGCCGCAGCAGAACCAAGTGAGATAGAGCACGACTCCCGTTGCTTCAACCAAAGCTTAGGCTTGGAAGAGTGTAGCCAAAAAAGCTTGGACCCAGCTAGCCCAATCACAAGAATTAGCAAACAGACGAGCAGGCAGAGTTTGTCAGTCCCGGCAACCCCAACTTAAAAAACATGTTTATTACCGAGGATTTATTTGTAGCGCATAATACTCAGTTGTTTTGGGTGCATCCAGCACTACCAAAAGCTTAACAACATGAGCATCTGTCCTCATTGTATGCAGACTGAAAGCAAAGTTAAAATGCACAGTTGTGACTGCCTCAACGAGTGTTAGAAATGACAAGCATATCAATGCTCCATCGAGAAGGCAGCCTACCACAACACCAGATAAAGAAAGCACGCTAGTACTCAATTTGTGAACACTAGGAAGACGCAGAACTCTATGAAGATAATATGCTCTAGCGTGTCGGAGTCAAAGGCAAACTCTATCAAAGACAAACAATTGGACGACCTGAAACAATGAGAATCTATATATCAAACAGGCAAGTTTAGTTTGCATTAGCTGCCATCCAAGCTCAGTTCACTATGGCCTACCAAGGCTACTTCAGATAATACTTCAGGGAGTAACGACGCGGAGGCCGTTTAATTGTTAGCCCATCTTCTTCGTGATGCGTCATGCGACGTTCTGATATTCCCTGACATGCCTTGGAGTGACAGGTTCAAAAGATGCAAAGCACAAGAGAATATCGCGCACAAAATGTTGAAAGCTCAATCCCTGTCCATGTTGTTTCCGAAATGCACTTCCAAAAGTTACATGTCCTAGTTAATGACTTAGAAGTGTGATGCTACCTCCGCGTAACTCTCTCTATTAACAACGTGATGGTCAACTCAAAGTCAAGGTTACTCATATCACCAAAATATAAATGCAGTGGACTCAGGGCTGGAAGTTCTGCTCAACACGAAAACAATGGTTGGAAAGATGCTCGGAAGTCGGCACAAATTACGTAAAAACCGTTATCCGAAATACTTACTAAGGCGGTCGAATCTAAGTCACCATTGGTTAAGGGAACACAAAACCAAGAAAAGGAAGCTTACCGAATCATTAAATTTTGCTGGCGTTTGTAGGTTGGTGTGCTTAGTATGAATCTTTGCAACGCCAAGACCAAAAACGCCAGTTAAACCGATTTCTGTTGCCGCCAGTGAGGTCCAGCTTTGTCTCACGACGCTTCCTCCTACCTAGAAGGTCATTTTGGTTCATGTTACTGGTTTGGTCGTTGATCTGCAACAGCAATCGATAGGCACCCATACGAAAATGCAACCGCACTCAGGGTCATGTAATGGATTTGGGAACTGGGTAGGTAGTCTAGCACGAACCGTCATACACGCCATCTACACAAATGGGTGCAGGCGATGCATCGATTTTCGATCGATACTGATATTTGAGGCATCATAAGCCGGATGGCTTGTGCCTTTGAAAGTTCATTAAATAGCGGTGAACAGGTTTATAATGCGGATATGAACTGCGAGGCAGAAGCTGCATACGGTGTTAGATTAGCAGAACTTCATATTAGGCGTATAGCCTACATCACGCTCTTTCGAGTGAGTGCATGACAGCCAGACTTTTAAACCGGGAGCTACGTACGTGAGATTCGGTATCGACTCCGTCAAAGGTGACGAAGCATGTAAGATGCTTGGACGTTAGAGATAATCTGACGATTTAATATCCACTTTGTGGAGCTGACGCATTCGAGTTCCATGAGTATAACCTGAAGGTTGGATGGCAAGATGGTGCGAAATAATTCCGCGGGAATCAGAAGCGCCAAAATGATGTGAGTGCGTGGCAGTATATACTAATGACAAGAGGTTATTTTATTCTGTCAGTGATCGGTATGTTGGTTAATATGGTTTCTGCAACAGATGCAAACCCCGAGAAAAATATCAGGGTTTGGGTCTACGGATATGCCTAGGCCGGGTGCCACGTAAAGTTCCTTAAAATAGAATGAATGGCGGTAGAATGCGATGGTACTTTTGCAATTGGTGTGGCAGTGGCAAAATGCTAGACAACTTCGGACGGTTTGGTTTAAACGGGGAGAATATATACCTTTGTTACTAACTTTTGATTGCACCATGTGGGCCAGTTCGGTCATGCGGTGTTTATGATTTTTGAGTATTTGGATGACATAAGATTTTCAAGGCGCATTTGACAACGGCCGACTTTTTAAGTAACTACGGGAATTGCGAACGTTGGCTATTGAAAAATGCTGCCACGTTAGCATTCACGAAGAGTTAGAACTACTCCAATGTTACTTCCTTCTTAATGTGCTTGCTTACAAAATACAGTTGGATTCAATAGTCCCCCTTTATGCAGGAACCATCTATTAAGCTGGAATTTGATGTTAGCCTAACAAGGACTGTAAGTTTCTCTTAAAACTATAGGTTCGGTGTTTTTGTGTCATGAAACATTTTTCTTTGCTAGGGGGCTGTTAATTTACCTATCGTTTTCATGGGTCGAGTTAAATGTAGATCATGGAACACCGTCATTCCTGTCAGGCACATTCAGGAAGGCAGCATTGAAAGCAGAAATGCCAGTAGACCCAGCTGGCAATATCCTTCACTTCCCAGCATATATCGTTGATCTGCGTGAGATAGTAGCGGTGATGGAGTGGAAAACCTAACTGCTTTACAATTCCCGTGGGATGATCCGCGTGAAAATCTCAGGATGAAAACATCGCGCAAATATTAATAGGGCGCATATTACTGAATTCACCAATAGTTTTGCATTAAACTTAACTCAATACTCGTGTCTTTAGTTTGTTTGTTTTGCGGTTCTGTCGTCACTCAGTGGGCACTGCCTATATCCATATCTCTTTCAGTTGTCTATTTAAGTAAAATAATGGTGGGCAGGAATACCCTGTGCTGAGAATTCGTTCCATGCTTGAGACACTCGAAGTGGGGAGACGTTTAGCTTGCATACCTGTCGACAGTGTTGCTTGGTCAGTAGTGGTCAGTGGTGCTGTCTTTGGTTGGGTAAGAAACTTGCTCATTTGTCGACGGGTGAATCGGAGAGCAGAACAACTTTCTGACCCAATTAATGTCTAGTGTCATACATGCCTCATAGATTAGCACTGGAACCATGTATATTCCTAGTCTTTCTAAATAATCTTGTTAACCTAGTTCAGTCGGTGCTACTACCAACTGAAAGCATACGAAACCCAATGCGATTTTGATGATGTCTGTACGTAGTCATCTGAGAATTGGCTCTAGTTCAATATGGTATAGTGCAAGGTGTTGAGTATATAGGACTCTAGTGCACCCCCTAATGATGAACAGATAAATAACATTTACAACGCGCTTCTCAGTAAAGAAAGCTAGTAAAAATTATGCAGGATGAACGTGACTGTACTGAATAGGCTGAAAAACTTCAAGAAAAGCTAGTCAGCAATTTGGCTCTCATCAGAATGCGTTACGGAAACCTACGTTTACTGTATTTTCGAAAATGTTGAGTATCCACTAAAGGCCTCATGTGGAGTAGGGTATCCAAGCCTGGCGTCCCTAGCCGAAGAACGATGCTGAAAAGCTTAAAGATCTACAACATAGGGCGACGAATAACCTCCTGACTTAAACCCTTACCTATTCCGATTGAATACACTTGGCTTGTACAACGGAGATTATAGGCGTGTTCCTTATCTCATCATGGCGTATCCAATACTGGCAAGCCGAAAATACGCCCGCCACTGTTTGTTGCAACTCAGCCACATTACTAAACACCGAGGCCAATCGACTACACTACACATGCGCGTAAACAAATAATTTTCATTCCTTGGGTGTGGCACATATTAGTCACGGCAACTAATATACAAGAACGAATATTCTGTAGTGCTCAGAGCCCACGGTATCAAGAACAAGTCTGGACAACACACAGTGTAACTAACTGATGGTGTTCAGTGGCGACACGATAAGCTTAGTGTATGCGCGTGTGTGCATGCGTTTATGTGGGTTGTTCATCCAACTGAGTGGGTTAGGGCCTGACCTTTAGTGCACAAGTAACATCCCTCACCCCCGTAGATGTTATCACATTCCAGCCTCAAAACGATCCACAGATTTAGGAATGTGGGTTGATCGCTTCGGCAACGTTTCACTAACGGTTTGCCGTCAGTGCCTGATTCTTTACCTGTGCACAATCCGGTCTGCGTCTCGTTTAGTGTGTCTGGATACCATGGACGAATGTGGTCTTAGTGCCGATGAATAAGCCGGCCATCTGGAAGTTGGGCGTCATTTTGGCTTCCCGAGGAAAGAATTACGGTG